AAAAAACAGTTTAAATAAGTTAAAAATAAAAAAAAATGATCCTCACGTCACAAAAAGAGGATTGGTAATTCAGAGACTTGAAAGTAATACAGATCCTTTGACAAACTCCCAGAATGACAGAAATACTGACTGAGCACAGAGAATGGTTTCTTTTTATTATTAGTGATTTTTATTGAGCTCTACATTTTTCTCTGCTCCCATCCCTGACTCTCCCCTCCCCTTCAACCCTCTCCCAAGGTCCCCATGCTCCCAAATTTACTCACGAGATCTTGTCTTTTTCTACTTCCCATGTAGAAAGGAAGCCAGGGCAGGAACTCAAGCAGGAACTTCAGTAAAAACCATAGAGGAATGCTGCAGGCTGGAAGGCTCAGACTCGACCTTAGCTAGCTTTCTCATACAGCCCAAGACCATGTACATGGGGAATGATGCTTCTCAAAACAGGTTGAACTTTACTACATTAATTAATAATCAAGACAATCCCTGAAGATGTACCCACAGACCAATGTGACCTGGACAATCTCTTTACTTGGATCCCTTCCTCATTTGACTCTAGGCTGTGCCAAATTGAAACTTAAATATCTATGGTAGCTTCAATGTAATTGGTTCCCATAATCTCAAAGGGAGCAATACAATAAGAGGTGTGGCCTTGTTGGAGTAGGTGGGATCTCTTTAGAGGAAGTCTGTCACTGTACAGATGGGATTTGAAGTCTCAAATATGCTCAAGCCACACCCAGTGAGACAGATCATTTCTTGGTGTCTACAAATCAAGAGATAGAAATCTTAGCGCCATTTCCAACACCATGTCAGCCTGAACACCACCATGTTGCACCATGATGATAGGGAACTAAATTTTTGAAAATGCAAGGCACCATAATTACATGATTTTCCTCTCTAAAAGTTGCCATGTTCATGATGTCTCTGCACAGCAACAGAAACCCTAATTACAACAGATACATTATTGCATAATTTTGTTGTATTAAAAAGTGTGGGGGTGGTGATATGGAGCAGTGGTAAAGACAATTGCTGCCAAACTTAGGGACTTGATCTGTGCCTGGGAATCACATGGTGAGCATCAAGAAATTACTCCTCAAAATTGTCTTCTTACCTCAACATACACCATGGCATAATTGTCCAATAAACAAGTAAATGTAGTTTAAAGAAAATGTAACATGTGATTGATGTTTGCTGATATTTTTATGGCTGATTATTTCTGTTTGCTAATTATTAAGAGAGACATTATCTCAATTAATGGTCTAGAGTTTTAACTCATGAACCCAGTTCATACTGGGTAAATGACCTCTGGATACACTTCCCTGCACTTGCTGCCTTGATATTAGCTGAGTTAAAGCAGAATAGGGGGTAGAACAAATGTTTAGTTTCATTTTTAAACTTTGCCTCCTGATTACTATGGCATGATATGGTGGACTTGCGAAATGAAGACAAACTGTGACACAAAAAGGGAACTGATGGACTTTCCGATAAAATAATGGATCGGATGAAAGGTTTCTGGGTGGGAAAGGTCCAGAAAAAAAAGCTGGATAGGCTAATGGTGAAAGTGTCAAATAGTGCGTTCGAGTCCAGCTTTTTGATATTGTGTGACAACACTGTCATCTACAAATTCCATGCCTTCAAACAAAATATTGAGTTACAAGAAATTGTATTATTTCTCAAATCCAAAACTAACAATGTTTCAAATAAATTTATGATGGGGGAACTGAATTCAGTGTTACTCTTGGCTGTGTGTGGCTTGTGGGCTATGGGTTGACACTCCTGAAATTGATCATCCGTAAACTGATGTACACATGAGCAACGCTAAGTGGATTTAGTGTGATTAGGTCATGAAGTTGAGAGGGGTTGGGGTAATGGGAGGAGTTGGAGGGAGGAGAGAGTAAATGGGATTGATGTCAGTTCAATACTCATGTATAAAATTCTCAAGAAAGTAGAAAAAAAGAATGTGTTCTCTATATTTTTAAAGGATACTTTGTTAGGTTGATGAGATATAATAGCTTAATTGTATACACACATAGTTGCTCACAATTAGATTTATTTACAGAACTGCTGGGAAGTCATAACTTTTTATCATTTAATGAATCTTTATTAGTGTCTGAATGTGAGAGAGATACAGTGTGTGTATTGAGTGAGAATATGTCCTGTGCACTGGGTGTGCCTGCATGCATGAGAGTGTATGCATGAGTATGTGTGTATGTAGGTGTGTCTCTCTGTGTGTGTGTGTGTGTGTGTGCAGTACCTGCAGAGGCCAGTTCAGTTCCCAGTGGAACTGACATTAAAGCAGATGTGAGTCATTTAACATAGGTGCTGAGATCCCAACTCAGGTCATCTGTATTGTCAGCAAGAGCTCTATGTGCTGAGCCATCTCTCCAGCTCACTGAATTCTTTACAAGCATATTTACTTCATACTTTGATGTAGGAAGGTCATCTCTCTATTTGTTACTTTCATTGGTTAATAAATAAACTGCCTTGGCTTTTTGAAAGAGCAGGATTTAGATAGGTGGAATAGACAGAACAGAATGCTGGGAAGAAGGGAAGTGAGGTCAGATGCAATGGAGCCAGCTGCCAGGTCAGACATGCTGAATCTTTCCTGGTAAGCCACCACCTCTTGGTGCTACACAGATTATTAGAAATGGGTTAATCAAGATGTGAGAATTAGCCGATAAGAGGCTAGAACTAATGGGCCAGGTAGTGTTTAAAAGAATATAATTTGTATGTTGTTATATTGGGGCATAAGCTAGCCAGGTGGCCTGGAGCCAGGGCGCAGGAATGCAGCCTGATGCTCCATCTACAATACTTACTTATTTATGTGTGAGTGCATATGTGGGTGAGCCATTGAGACCAGAAGACACCCTGAAGGAATCCATTCCCTCATACCATCCGATGGGTGCTGAGACTTGAACCCATGTTATCTGTTTTGGAGACAGGTGTCTTTAACCCTTGAGCTATTTTGCCAGACTGTAACATTGTCTTTCAATGTTAATATGATAGCTGATATTAGCACTGTTTTCTTTGCTAAGCATACTTGAGCTTGGGTCAAGTCCAGCTTATCACAGAATATCATCTTTGAACCCCTGTTAGTGG